TCTAGGGAAGTCATTGTGCTGGGAGTGGAAAGTCCTTTTCTGACTTCATCTTCAAGGGCTAAAAATAGTCCAAGGTGGTGGGTGGAGCCCCTGAGGACAGGGTTTGGGGCCAATGAGTGACTGGCCCTGACTGGCCCATTGTCCCTGGCTAGGACAGGGCCAAGACTGGACACCAGGTTGGACTGGATCCAAGACAGAGGAAAGCCCAGGAATCCCCTACTGGAGGAAGGGTGGTTGGGCAGGGGCAAGCCCCATCAAATATGGGGAAACTGAGGCCCAGAGGGGAGCAGCAGTGACTCACCCAAGTCACATGGTGCATCAGGGCAGAGGAGGACGAGTTTGGCTCTGGGGCTCAGTCCTCACCCCCACTCCTCAGGTGCACGAGCACATCCTGCCCCTGCAGCCCGGTCACTCCTGGCCAAGCTCTACTCTCCACCCTGCAGGAGCTTCAGACTTTGTACTGCGTGGCACCGTGTGGCGGCAATGGAGTCAGTTCACCTCTCTGGTCGCTTGCTGCCAGGAGAGACCCACTGCCCCCAATGTTCTGGTCCTCAGAACCAAGAGCCTGGTGAGTCTTGGGAATGGCTGGGGAGCAGCTGTTGCTGTGCCCGTGATGAGGATGTCCTAGCCAAGGTGAGGGAGCTGGAACATGGGAAGCTAGGTCTCTAGGCTCCAGTGTGGCCCAGAGAAGGCAGGCAGGTGGCCTCCAGTTACACAGCAAAAGCTGCCCATTCACTGCCTGCCCTGGCCCAGCTCCAGGGTGGTCTTGCCATACTTGAGCTCAGGACTCTTGGCTGAACCAAGGTGTAGCTCCAGACCACCATGGTGGGCACCGCCATTCAGGGAGACACGGCTCACCTGCTGCCATGGGTGGGCAGGAGCTCTCTAGCCTGTAAGGGACCCTTTTCCTCCCCTCCTCCTCTCACTGGCCCCTCTCCCTGGCCCTCCCACAGCCAGGCACCTGGACAAGGCTCTGTAAACAACTCAGGCCCATGGGCCTGAAAGCTACCCTTGCCAGGCAGGGCAGAGGCTGGTCCCACGCCTCCCCCAGGATGGACTTGCTTCTGTCCTCCCACCTCCACAGGGGGTCCCCGGAGATGTCAGGCCCCCTATGGCACACTGCCCAGGCACACCGTCCTCTCCTTCGAAATGTCTATCCCAATGTGGTTACATGTTAAGTGACGTCAACTCCGTGAGGCAGGGCCCAGCCGGTTTGCCTCTGCGCTTCACGCTCAGGGAAGCCCCGCAAATGCCCTACGTGGGAGGTCGTATCTCATTGTAGAAATGAGAAAACAGAGGTGCTGCAACACTAAGTAACTTGCCTAAATTGCCACAGCTGGAAAAGAAGAGACAACATTCAAACCAAGGGGATCTGGGCATAGCATCTGTGCCCTTAACCCCATCCTCGGTACACTGTCCCTCTCGTCTTGAATCATGTGAAGTGTCACTTACAGCCCCTCCTGCCCCGAAGGGCTCATGTGTGCTGTGGCACACTAGAAAGGGCCCGAATCTGGGCATTGGATGGCCCTGGACTCAATCTCAGCTCACCCACCCTCTGCCCGTGTGACCTGCCCGAGTCCTCCCTTCTCAACCCCATCTCCCACTTCCGCATCTGCTAAATGGGGATGATATTGTCCACGTCACAGGGTTGTTGTGGAGAACACATATGTGAGAGAGTGGCGCCTGGGACATGGGTCAGTACATCAGTTCCCTCCCCCGTGTGCCTGATTCTAAACACATCAGCCCAAATCTGCCATGACAAGGGTGGCAGAAGGATAGATTTCGTGGCCTTGCCTGGACCAAGACTGAAGCTACTATGTGTGGAGAACATGTTGTCTACGGACTCTTCTAACCTTGGAGGGTGAGAGTGGGGATGTCCTCTGGGACTCCCCCTCCCTCCTGGGTGCTGGGACATCTGCCACCCAGGGCAAAGACCACTATGTGCCACACGGCCCCATTGGGAACAGCTGCGGCAGGCATGTCAGCAGGCACCCCCCCCACCTGACTGTCTACTCTCTCCCTCCCACCCCCTGCCCACGTCCCTGCCTCAGCTCCAGGGTGGGAAGAGCTGGGCAGTGTGGGTGACAGCAGGATTCCCACCATGGCACCGACCTGCACTGAAGCAGCAGGAGCAGCCTGAGCCCCTGGTTCACATCCAGGCGCCGCGCTGACCTGCCCAGTGACCTTGGGCAAGGCCCCGCCCCTCCCCGGCCTTGAGTCTGCTGCTGGCCTGGGTAGTCCCTGGAGTCCTGTCCCATGACTGGGCGACTCACTTGCCCTTTCACAGCGGCCTTCATGAGTCAACAGCCCCAGGAAGTGATGTCAGGGTGGGGAGGTGGGAAGGGGCAGGGAGGCCTGGAGAGTAAGAGGAGATATTTTGAGGGCAGGCAGTTCCCCCCACGTCACCGCTGGACAATGGTCTGGGGCTGGGAGTGGAAAATCCTGGTCTTACTTGGGCTGAAAATAGCACAAGGCAGCAGGGCAGGAACCTCACCCGCAAGGCACGTGCCTGGGCACCAAGCAGCAAGGCCGATGTCTATACCTAGGGGCCAGGCAGTCCAGCTGGGGTCCCGAGGTGGGGCCCTGGGCCTGTCCCTAGTCCCCAAGGGTCTCTGTTCCCCACCCCCACCCACATCTGCCACAGGATTAGATGGTGAATAAGCCCCTCCTCTGGTCCTGGGTTCGAAGGGTCTCTAGAGCAGCTGCAGGAGGGCTAGGTGGGCAGGACCTGAGAGGAACAGGGCCTAGGGGAACTCGGGCCTGTGGCGGCCATAGCCCCACCCCCAAACACAGATGTGCACTAACGACCCCGAAGTCATGAAGTACACCCCTTGCCTCCAGGTCTAAGCAGGTCTGAGAAGGTCAGAACTCAGCACTCACACTCCCGGCCTGCAGGGCATCTCACCTGGGCAGGGGTGCCCTGTAAACCGGGATGGGATTCAGCTGGAGCAGTAGCTGGTAGGAAAGAGGCGTGGGCCTGTGGGAAAGGTCAAGGACAGTGTGTAAGAGGCAGTCACTAAGAAAGCTCAGAAGGACTCTGGCGACATTAACAGAAGTATAGAACCTAGAATGTGGGAGGTGAGTACCTCACACTATTCTGGGCAGGTCACCCATATTGTACAATGCAGAGTTATCATTTGGGTGATAACCGTGTTGAGTCTCTGTCACGTGAGGGAGCTGTGGACCTAGGCTTTGAATAGAGCAACCTCTGGAAGTGCCCTGCCTTTGACAAGGCGGAGTGGGAAGGGTAGAGAAGTCACAGGAGGTACACAGAGTCGGCCCACAGGGCAAGGGCTCTCCCAGAGGGAGAGCAGTGAGTCCCTGTCTTTGAGGTCGAGAGTGAGGCCTGTCAGCTTTGTCCTACTGCTGCCCAAAGGCTAGGTGCTGGACCCCATCCGGCTGAGCGCCCCACATCTGCTCAGAGTGGTCCTGGCTGGACCCAGAACCTGTCATGGGTGAGACCTGTCTCCCCCATGGCAAGCCCTGATCCAGCCTGAGCACCAACCATCCTGCCACACAGCTGGGACTTTGCCAGAAGGCAGGGGACTAGACGGGAAGAGAAGTGAGTCTCCCTCACACTTAGCCCCAGTGCAAGGGAAACCTCATGATCAGGGCAAGGAGGGAGCCCTGCTTTGGCCTCCTTGAGACCCAGCCCCAGCCTCTTCCCTGCCTTGAGCCTGTGCCAGCTGTCCGCCTGCTTATGGTTCCCGCACACCATGCTCTCTTGCTGCCATGTCTTTGCCCAGGATGTATCCTGCACCTGGGTGTTCTCCTGGTGAACTGTTTTTCTCGGAAGCTGCAACTCAGGAGTCTCCTACTCCATGAGTCCCCTGGCACACAGCCCCATCCACTCAGCATTACCCAGTGGTGTGCCGGAGCAACCTGTACCTGCTTCAAGAGCCAACTGTTCATTTTTCAGGAATTTTGCAAGGAGGTGGACATCAGGTTTGTAGTTTGAAATTGGCCATGGTAGGAGTATTCGCACCATGGCAATCAGCAATGCAACAAATAAGGGGGTCCCCTCACACCCCTGGAGATCTAGTTAAATGGTTTAACATTTACCAGCAAGTGACTGGTCATCACCTAAACTAAGGCATCCCAAGGACTGGGACCCCACCTGACTCCTCTATGCTCGGCACAGAGCCAGGCACAGGAGCCAGTTGGCTTTAAAGTGGGGGATGACCTGGGGTCTGGAGAGGGGATCCCTGATGTGAGACTGTTAAGGAACTCATAAGGGGGGTTTAATGTTCACTGCATAGAAAGCCAGTTATTGAGATAATGAGGATTGTCAAGGAAGAACGGATTTATTTTAGTGGATATGTCAATTGGAAGGTGGGAGGTAGGAACTGGTTTAAATCCCCAACCAGCAGGGTCAGGGGGTTTTTTTGGAGGTGAAATGAATAATGCATCAGGGGAGTGAGCATCACTACGTGTTTGGGGCGGAGTGCAGTGCACGCAAGCGCGGTGAGAATTCATGTTAGTACATATGTCCCATGATCAAAAAGGGATATGTCCCTCCCAGAGCAGGGATTTTAGTATTATAATGAGCTAGGAATTAATATTGGTCATTCTTTTAGCCTAGTGCGCAGGCTCAGTGGGTCTTTGGGCACGATCTGTGGTGGAGAACCACTTATCTTGTGTTCTCTGGACAAACAGGTGGTGTGAGGCTTTGTACTTATCTCGTGGTTGCAAGGAGGTGCTGCCATTTCTGGGAAAGAAACTCAAAAGGGAATGCATCAGTACAACAGAAAGTTACAAAGTTCTGGTCAGCAAATCATACTGGCATGGGAACTGAAAATATAGAGAACTACGAAAAAAAAAAACAAACCTATAAAAAATGTTTTCTTGCTTATGGAACTGGTTATAAGACTACCCCTGAGACCACTAGTGGGAAGGCAGGTGGTAGAAGAGGACAGATTGGAGAAGGGACCTTTGTATGGATGTTGAAAGCTTCCCAGACCATATCCCCACCCTCTGACCACACAATAGGGCACGGCTTGGCAGGCAACAAAGCCTTTAGTATAAGTTACAGCTTCACACTGGCTCCCAGCCCGGGGGAGCCTCCAGAGGAGTCTATGACGTCAGTCCCCAGATGCTCGTCTCTTGGGCAGGGCGTACTCCTCACAGCTGAGTCCACTGTGGCACCCAGTCCTGCCCCAGACCACCATGGGAACTCAGCCCTGACTACTTACCAGGGTCCTCCGGCCAAGCTGTGACTCTGTCCCCACCCCAGGTGGCTCAGACTCAGACCTTGCTGTGTGACCTTTGTAAGACACCTTCCTCTCTAGGCATGTTTCTCCATTTGACTTAAATAGACTGGACTCCAGCCTGGGCACCTTGGCAGGTACAGCCAGCTAATCTGCATGGGAGTCACGCCAGGGCAGCACTGCCGTGAACACTTGCCTTTCTTGAAACCTTATTCCCCCAATCACACATACAAATGATAAGTGGGGACTATGGGGACAGCCGACTCTCTTCTGGACCATGGAGGAGGGAGTATCCTGAGCCCCTGCCAAATGACAGAGCATGGGGTCATGGCTTCCTTGATCACCTAGTATGAGTCACTGATGGCCCATACCTGGGAGACCATCCCATTTGCACAAGTCTTGGTCCTCGACATCTCCCCTCCTCTCCAAATAAACTTGCACAGGCCCAAAGGGTTCAGGACCTACAGCCGGACGTCCTTAGTGTTCGCACTACCAGCTGGAGTGGACTCAGTCCGCCTGGAGTCCTCACTGCTGGCTGACACATCTTCTGCCCTCCGGAGGTCAGGTCTGTCCGACCTTCGCAGGCCCAGCCTGCGACCAGCCCGGGTGGTGGGGGTGGGGTCTGTGGGTGGTTTGGCATCTCGGGCAAAGCGCACGAGCCTCTGCCCAGCCAGGAAGTAGAGCACGGGGTCAAGGCAACTGTTGGCGCTGGCCAGCGGCCGGGTGATCTTGTAAGCCATGTTGATGGCGTCCAGGGTGCGACAGCTGAGGTCAAGCGAGCGGAAGGAGTAGTAGAGTGTGCGGGTGATGTGGAAAGGCAGGAAACAGAGGGTGAAGACAGCCAGCACCACGGCGATGGTGCGCACGGACTTGCGCTTGGCCCGCGGCAGGCCTCCCGTGGTCCCGTACGCTGGCTGCAGCAGCCGCCGCGCCATGAGCACGTAACAGGCCAGGATGACGGCAAAGGGCACCGCGAAGAGCAGGCCCAGCATGACCGAGCTGTAGGCCACGAAGTGGCTGAAGAGCTCAGGCGCCGACGTGTCGTGGCAGGTGATGCGGCCTCCGCGGGTGCTGGTGGTGACGAAGTAGAGCACGGGGGCCTGGCAGGCTAGCACCAGCACCCACACGGCGGCCGCCACCCGGCGGGCATAGCGGGCCCGGCCCCAGCGCAGGGAGCGCAGAGGGCGTAGGACACCCAGGCATCGGTGCACGCTGATGCAGGTGAGGAAGAGGATGCTGCAGTACAGGTTGGTGTAGAAGAGGAAGCGCACCAGCTTGCAGAGGACCGTGCTGAAGGGCCAGTGGTCGCCGCGGGCGTAGTAATAGACCAGCAGCGGCAGGGAGGCCGCATACAGCGTGTCCGACACAGCCAGGTGGAACATGTACGTGGTGGAGGCGTTCCAGGTCTTGAGGCGGCACAGGAAGATGTAGAGCGCCACCGCGTTCAGACACAGCCCGAGCACGCACACCACGCCATAGGAAACGGGCAGCAGCACGTACTTGAAGTCCTCATTGAAGAGGCATTTGTAGCCGAGCTCATCCCCATCCCAAGTGCCATTGGTGGTGCCATTCTCGGGGCCTTCCGCCATCGCCCTGCAGGGACTGGGGAGTGGGGGGAACAGTGGTCAGGATCACAGGAGGCTCTGCGGGGAGGCCTGACACTCACCTGACCAGGGCCTTGGTTGCCACCTGACCTGGATCTGGACCCAGAACCTCCAAACCCTGGAACTTCAACAATGCACGAGATCCACAAATATAAGGATCATATAATTCTCAAACTTTAGAAGAGGGGTAGGGAAACTGTAGCCCAAAGGCCAGACCCAGCCCACCAGTCTGTTTTTGTAAATAAAGCTTTATTAGAACACAGCCATACCCATTTGTTAACAAAGACCATATGGCCTGCAAAGTCTAAAATATTTGCTGTCTGACCTTAAAAAAAGTTTGCTGACCCTACTCTAGAACTTCAGGATCAGAGTTCTAGATCTAGGGTTCTGAGCTCTAGAATCTGAGGAGCTGGGGGTACCAGAGGGGTACAGTCTCAGATCTATGGGATGGGGCCTTCCAGGCTGGCTGGCCCTGCTTCACAGCCAGTGCCCACTGCCTGCTGAGGCATTTCTGGCCAGTGGGCAGCCCGTAGCCTACTGTGGGCACTGCCAAGTTCCTCCTGCAGCTCATCTGCCCACTCCCTGGGGAGGCTCTGGTCCTGTGCCTGGTGTTTTGATATTTGAGGAAATATTTCCAAGGATGTCCTTCTTCAGTTATTCATTTAATCACTCAGTAAATATTTTTTGGATACTCCTATATTCTGGCACTTTCTACATCTGCAAATAGAAGTCATGACCCCAAGACCTGTGAGGCTACCAGATGGGACAGTGACCCTCCTGAAGAGTCCAGGGAGTTCTGGGGTGGAGATAGGGACGGGTGTGGGGTGGGGGGAGAGGAGGACTTCTGTGCAGCTTCTTCTGGGCCTACCTAGTTTCTCTTTCATGACATTCCCTACCTTGTCCCTAGTTAGCATATGACACACCCATGGGGACTGACTGCCCAGCAGACAGTGAGTGCCCAGACAGCAGCTTGTCCACCTTCCTCTTCTCCACACCCCTACCAATGTGACCAAGAATAGCTCTCTCTCGCTGGGAGGCAGGGGACAGACCCCAGTCCGGAGGGCAAAGATGTGCCCAAAGGTCCCAGAAGGCAGGCTGGAAATCACAGCAGAAGTCCCAGGTGGGCAGGTTTGAGAAAAACACAAAGAATAACTTTCTAACAATGTGAAGGGGTAGGGGGAACTAACATTTTTCAAACCCTACTACTATGTGTGCTTTATTAAAGTGACTTCATTTAATCCTTACCACATGCTCCGGGAGTCAGGTCACCATCCCCAGTTTTCCAATCAAGAGGCTAAGACACAGATCATTTGGGTAATTTGGTCAAGGTCACACAGCTAGGGATGGGCCGCAGTTCCTATCCAGGTCCATCCCACAATGGAAGAGGCTGTAGGAGGGAGGTAGCGAACTCCAAACTCCGTGTGCGTAGAGACAGGCAAACGGCTCTCTAGTAGAGGCTGCAGGAGAGCTTGTGCCCTGTGTGCGGGTGTGTCTGGGAGGCTGGAGAGGGCAGATGACGTGTGAGTCCTCCCCACCCTGAGAATCTGGGGCTGTACAATTCCTTTCATTTTGGATCCTGGGGTCCTGAGAGGCTGGGACTGGGGAACTCTATAGGGCAGCAACATCCACTCCCTTAGACCCCGAGCTTCCTGCCCAGCCTTGGCCTCCCAGCAACAGTTCAAGGCCCATGAGATTGAGATTTGGGGGGCTGAGGGGGAACATAGATCCTTCAGTTTCCCTTCTTTCCCCATTCCCCCCAGATCTTCCCTGTCTCCTGGTTGTCAGCAAATGTACGACCCAGGAGGAAAGTGGCCTGCACCCTTGACACCCCTGCCATGGACCCCGATGGCTCCCCAAAGAGCCAGGGCAGGGCCAAGAGGAAGAGGCAGGGAGAAGCTTATGTGATGCCAAGCTAAGAGGGGACAGGTAGTGGCTGGGGTCTGACAGGGCCAAGTGGCTGGACCTCTCTTGCCCAAGGGTCAGGTCAATTCCTGCCCCCCACCCTTGCCCCATGCCCCAGCCCAGTGCCAGCCTCTACCTCTCATTGCTGGAACATTGCAACAGCCTTCTTCCTCCAGCCTCAGTCCCCTCCCAAATCTAGAGGGTCTTTGTAAAAGACAAAGTCATTCCCCTACTAGAAACCCTCCTGTGGCTCCTGCCTTCTCTCAGGAGAAAGCCCAGTCCCTTTGTCTGGTACTCTAGGTTTTCTTTTTTTTTCTTTTCTTTTCTTTTTTTTCAGATGGCGTCCCACTATATCATCCAGATTGGTCTCAAACTCCTGGGCTCAAGCAATCCTGCCTCACCCTCCCAAGTAGCTGGGACTACAGTTGTGAGCCACCACGCCTGGCTCCTGGTACTTGAGGTTTTCATAACCCAGCCTCTGCTAACCGCACCAGCCCCATCCCCTGTGACCTGTGGTTTCCTGATGTGCCCACCACTTTCCCCTCCCAGCCTTAGTTCCTGTGGCTCCTTCTACCTGGATCCATTCTTGCCTCTCATCTCCACCCATTGAGCTCTTTATCCTTCAGTGCGGCAAACTCCAGTGACTAAAAACCTGGTTTCTGGGGTCTGGCTGTAAAACAAGGTGGTTAGTAGACTCTCCATGATAAGACTCTGGGGGGGATTGAGTAATTCGGGCAAAATGTTTGGAGTAGAGCCTGGCACACAGAAGGTACACTGTAGTGTTATGAGCATTGAGGCTCAGCTCAAAGGTGACTTTTTTCAGAACTCTTTGGGGAGCTCTCTCAGACCACGGGAGGAGGAGCGGCTTGGGGGCCAGACTGGAGGCTGTGGAGGAGGTGAATGTGGTGGGCCAGGGGAGTGACATCAGGCCTGGGACCCCGTGAGTGGGGAGACCTCAGAGATGTTTGGGAGGGAGGCTCCGGAGAGGGTTCCCTGATGGGGAGGGGTGGGAGCAGAGGAATTCAGTGTCAGACATGGTAAGTGTGGGGATGGGTGCGGGCTGGGCCTGTTGGGTCTGGTGCTTTGGAAGGTGGGCTGGGCGTCGCTGGCCCACAGAAGCTGCAGGAGGAGCATGGAGAGGCCCTGAGTGTGAGACTGAGGAGCTGTAGAGGGGCCACATTCCCTCCTGGGACACAGCCCTGGCCTGGGACTCAGAAAGCTTAGGTTCCAGTCCAGCTCTGCCACAAAACCCCAGGTGACATCAGGCATTTCCTTCCCTCCCAAGTCTCAGACCTCTCAAGGGTCAAATCCCCCAGCTGTGCTCCTATCCCAGGGCCAAGGCCTGGCTGGCCACTTCTCAGACTAGGGTCAGGGCCTTCTTCTTCCCTTCATAGTCAACATATTGCTCCGCACCAAGAGTTTCCTGCTAATCGCTAATGGTGGAATCTCTGACACTGAGAAGAGGGGTGGTGACTTCCCTGTCTCCCCATGAACTGAGGGAGCTGCCACTTCCACCTGTTTTAAGACATCCTGGCCTCCACCCTCCCAGGCCAGCTGGGGACTGTATCACTGTGGGCCTCTGGCCAGACTGACCCCACCCGCCACCTCCTTCCACAGGCTGCCTCACCAACCTGGGAGTAGTCTTTCCCTGCCTCAGCTTCGGCTTCAGGGAGACAGGAAAGTCCCCAGCCCTCTCCCTCAGGCCTCCCCTCTGCCTCTCCTGACCCTGGCTGCCCTTGGGACCTCCCCCCAGGCTCCTCGGGAGCCAGGCTCCACCTGACTTTGTCCAACACCACTCACTAATGCCTCTGCGCCCAGTTCTGGCTGGCTCTGCCCTGAGGAGCTCCCAGTCTGGAGGGGAGGTATGACCCATTTAAGGGCCCTTCCAGGCTTCCCCACCTTTGCTCAAGTTGTCCTTTCTGTCTGGAACACCTTTCCAGAACCCACCCATACTTCTCAAATGTCACCTTATCTCTGAAGCTCTCTCCCTCCACCATCACCCCTCAGGGCAGTCCTTGTTGGTAATTTGTCCTTCCAGTCTCTAATGCAACACATTCCAGGTGCTCCTTGAGGGTTGGGTCCATCTGATGTTTTTCTCTGTCCCTATCATCCATCAAGAGGCCCAATCCACAGCAGGTATTACAGGAACAAGAGAATGAATGAATGAATGAATGGAGCACAAGAGGCTATGGGAGTCCAGAGGAGGCTGAGCTTGATGAAGGTGTGTCTCCTTTCCCTTGCTTCTCTGAGGGCCACTCAGAGGACAATGGTACTTAAAGATTTCTCAGCTGCTGACCTAGGTGGCCAGGGGACAACCCAGCCCTCTTGGGGGTCCAGCACACCTGGGACCTGCTTATACCTAGACAGGCCGCTGGACTGTCTGTCCTTCAAGAGCTTCAGGGGCCCAGAAGTCTCTGCCCTTCTCTGGATAGCCAGGGAAATGGCAGGGGGAGGGGAATTGGACCCAGGCATTCTGGAGATGGATTAGCTGTCTGAGGCCTGCCGCATGTTTTTACCTGGCTCAGGTCACAGGTCAACCTGATCAGCAGTTCTTCATCCTGGAGCCCCCACTGCCAGCCAACCTGCTTGGTAGGGGCCAGATCTGGGCTGAGCAGCTTCTACGCAGCCTCTTCATTTCATCCCCATCCCCCACCTCCACCCCTTGGTAGGTACTGCCAGAGAGGTTAAGCTATTTGTTCAAGGTCACACTGCCAGGAATTGGAAAAGCTGGGCTTGACACCCAGGGCTGTCTGGCTCCAAAGCCTGAATTCATCACAGCCTGGGATGAGGAAGCGGGGCAGGGCACCTGCTTTGGGACCACCCAATCTAATCCCAGTTTAGTGCACACACGTGCACAACATGCACGCATACCTGCCTGAGCCTCCGAGCCAGTGGACCCGCCCTGGCACCCCTGTACCTGACCAGCCCCTGCTCTTGAGGTCAGGATGCTCAGCGCCTGCTCAGGTTCCTCACTCATGAATGCACACGCCTGGACCAGGCTGCCAGGAACTCTGCGGGAAACAGGAAAAACAGGTCCCCAGGCCTGGGGCCACGCCCAGCCTCCAGCATTTTTCAGGGCAGGCAGTGCCACAGCCCGCAGGGGGCTCCTGCAGACACAGGGAGGTGGAGACAGCACGGGTTCAGGGTCATGGGAAGCCAGCCAGGCCAAGCCCTCCCAGGGCCACTGCCTCTGCTCTAACCTTGGCCTGAAAGAGGCAGAGGGGTGGCCTGGTGTGCTTGTCCTGGTCACAGTGTCCTCTGCATACCCACACCTCAGCCGTCCACCCCAGCTCACATGCTCTGGCCTCCTTCCCCAGGTAGCCCCTTCAAAGGAGTGTGGCTCTGCCGGGGGAGGGGCTCCCCCAATGTCCTGCAGAGCTGAGCCAAGTCTCCAGTGTCCCCTCCCTCAGGCCTGGTTCTGTGCTTTGGCCCCACAGCAGGAAACGGTCAATACCCTCCTTGCCCAGGACACACTCTATTGTACTTCTCCTGACACACTTTTCCCAAGCTAGGTCTTTGTCTAGAATATCCCTCCTCCCCACTCGCAGCTCTAAGCATTCCTCCCCAGGCGCTAGAAACACACACCCCACACCTGAGCATACAGGCACAGACACACCAAGACGCGCAGAGCCACGCTCAGACGTACATGCAGTGGACACGCACACAGTCCAGGCAGTCAGGCCCTGGAACAGCCCCCAGAAATCACCTGTGCCAAACCCCCTGTGACAGAGGAGGAAGCCGAGGCCCAAGGCCTCGCAGTGAGTCAGGGACAGAGCCATTTTGCCTTGGAGCCTCTCACGCACACCGAGCACAGGGCTTCTGTGAGGGGTGCCCGGTGGAGGGACCCCTCTGTAGGGGCAGATCCCAGCATCCCAGACATATCATAAGAGGAAAGGAACATCCCTTTCCTGAACTACCTTCTCCCGTCTGTCTGCTTCTTTTCCCTAGGATGGGGGAGCAGGTCTGAGACAGCCGAGGCCAGGTCCCCAAGCTGGAAGTGCAGTGCAAGGGCTGGGGGATGTGGGAGAGTAGATGGGGCTGCAGGAACAGGGCCGGATGGGGCATGGGAAATGCCTCTGGGCCACTGTTTACTTAGTGTACCTTGCTGGGTCTCGGGCTGACATGGCCACTGGGCTGGTAGCTATCTGCCAGTGCACTCTAGTGTTTATGACAAGGCCAAGGGACATTGCCTTTTCACCCCACTCCACCCGGGTGCACGCCCTCTCTTCTCCTTAGGAGATGCCTCCACTCAACAGGCTAAGAAGGAGCACAGCACTTTCTCAAAGTCATTGCCCCGTTTCTGAGAAGGGCCTCCATTGTCCTTCCAGGCTTCAAACCTCCGATGTAGCCTTGACAACATCTCTCTTCCACCCCATTTGAACTCCATCACTCATCACATCAGTTCAACTGTGAAGTCCATCAGACATGTACCCCTTGGGCCTACACTTCCCCAGACCACGGCCCCAGCCCCCTCCCTGGACTCCTTGCCACCACCCCTGTCCCATCTGTCCAGCCTTCACACTGCAGTCACGAGGTCTCCCTAAAACACAAATCCAACCACATACTGTCAAGTTCAAAACCCTTCCATGGCTCCCTAGTGCCCTTGGGCTAATGTCCAAGGTCCTCCGCCTGGCACCCAGGCCCTTGCTGATCTGGTCCCTGCCAATCCACCATCTCTGCCTCCACACCCATCTTCTTGTCTCACGCACAACAAAAGCAGTCCCATGGTCATGTCTTTGCTCAGGGACACCCTCCTTTATCTTCTAACGCCTATATCCCAAGAGTTTAGTGCTGTCTCTGCCATATTCTGTGTTAAGGTGGCTTCATATTCTTCTTCTCATTTAATCCTAAGAGACTCAGAGAGGCTAAATAACCTCCTGCAGTCACCAAGCTAGCAAACAGCAGAGCAGCTCTGGACTGTCTGACATCAGAAACTATGACCGTGATCACAACTCTTACCTGCAAGGCCCAGGCCTCTGCCCAGGAAGCTCCCTGACTATCCCTCTTTCAGTCCCATAGCTCTGCCTTTCTGGTCAGTTCTCCACCAGAGAAGTGCCCAGACGGCAGGGCCCTGGATTTACTCTTCTTAGTACTTCCCTAGTGTGAGATGGCCACGATGGTTATTGTACCCATTTCACGGGCAGACAAACTAAGGCCAGAAGGGTAGCTCAAGGTCTCAACAAGATCATGAGTCAAGGGCAGAGCCAAGCCTAACATGCAGACCATACTGACCTGGCTCTGCCCCTACTCTAATCTGGGTCTTTCTCTCTGTGGCCCTAGGCTAGTGAGCCTGAAACCAGCAGGAGGGGCTGGGGCAGGTCTCAGGCTGGCTGCGGAATTTCCGGGGTGGTTGGATGACATTCCAGCTGCTCCACTAGGGTGTGCCACAAACCTGGCTGGTGGACCCTGTCCAGCCTGGCAGGGGAGAGTGTCCTGTCACCACTCTGGGGACCCCTGCTGCCTGTCTCTGCCAGGGGTGGAATGCTGCAAGGGGAAACAGAGAACCTGCACCCTGCCATCGTGGGGGCAGGAGAGGGCACTGAACAGGTGGGAAATCTCCGTTCTGCTACTCCCAGCTGTAGGATTTGGACAAGTCTCTTAACTCTAAAACCCCAAATCTCAATTCCTCTCAGTATCAGAACAGTACCTGCCTCAGATGGTTGCCGAGATAGTTAAATAAAATGATTCAGACTCCTTTTAGGAACTAATAAGAGAGAAGATTTCAGCAAGTGGAGATGGCAGGGAGAATGAGGGTATCTCAGGAAGACAAGGGGGGCACGAAACCCCACAGGAATTATGAGCAGGAGCTACAGGTAGTGAGGTCATAGTCAGACTGTCCACAGATCAAGTTTCCAACACTGACAGCATCCTCGGGGGAAGCAGTTCAGGGACCCCACGCAGGAACCGGACACCTGCCATATTCCTTCACTCACTCGCCCTTCACAAAGGTTGCCGTGCCTACGCCTGTCCCTAGGCAGGGCACGCAGGGACTCGGAGGCAGGTCAGACCCTTCCCTGATGGCAAGGAGCTCACTGTCAAGGTGGAAGAGGCACACTCAGAAACAGGCAGTGACATCTCAGGATGATCAGGCCTGAACAGAGCCAAGGCAGTCCCAAATGGGAATGGAGGGTGGCTAGAGAAAGCTTCCTGGAGCCGAGGACATCTGACCTGCATTTTGGAAGATCAGTAGGAGTCAGCTGGGTGGAGAGAGAGGAGGAGCAGAGTGAAGAAAAGCCAGAGCAAGAGATGACATGATATGCTTGGGGACTGTTAATTGTCCCTGTGGCTTGGGAGTAGAGAGGGCAAGGCTGGGTTGCACAGGCTTAGGAGCTTAGAAGTCACTTCTGTCCCCTCCCAAATGTCCTCCAAGAAACCTTGTCTGATGTGCTGCTGCACCATGAGCACGTGGGCTGGTCTGCAGAAACAGCCAAGGGGTAACCTCTGATGTTATCAGCCAGTGCTGTTGCGGTGTGAGGCCTCCCCTTCAGGAGGCCCTTGGGCTCTGTAGCCCCTCCCAGGGGCTCTCTCCCTCTAGGGAGCCCCCAGGATCCTGGCTGTGAGGGCCACTCGCTGAGGCTGAGCTCAGAGCATTTGAGTGGCTGGGTCTCAATTCAGCCGGGCTTACAGATCAGGAAACTGAGATTCCCTAAAGAGGAGGGGCCTTACTCAAGGTCTGGTGTTCTAATTATTTCCAGTGTGGGGTTGAGCAAACAACCCCCGACCCACAGCAGAACTCCAAACCACCCCTTCCACCCCCAACTTAGCACAGCCCAGCAAAGGGCTACGGAGATGCACTACTGAACTGAACAGAGTCAGAACCGCAATGCCCTGGACGCGACCCAAGCCTATCACATCCAGTGCCTCTGGCCAGACTCGAGGCCAAGAACCCTGGGTTCAGGCTCCAACTTGGAACCACCCATGCTGTGCAATCTTGGTCAAGTCAGTCCCCCTCTCTGAGCCTGGGGTTCTTCACTGGTCAAACGGGGAGAATCACCGCTACCTGTGACAGCTCATAAGGAATGAGTAAGATGGGGGCAGGTGGGTGCTCCATGGTGCTAGCAAATGGTGCACTGTCCTGATGTCTGCCTGCCTGTCACGACAGAGAGACACTGAAATCCAGAGGCCCACAATGATTCTTAGTTGTGGGGGGGTGGTGCTCCCAGGTGTTCCCAGCAGAGGGGCAGAGGTCACGGTCAGAGCAGTCAGGGAAGGTTTCTGGAAGAGGACCTGTGATCAGGTTTGAGGAGCAGTGGGAAGGGTCCAGCTTGGGAGGAAAGAGGGAGAATAGAGACCATCAGGTGGAAAAAGGGGTAGACATAGAAACGACACCTGTCAGTCTGACTCTGAGATGGTCTCACTCTGAGTGCCTCCAGGATTCTCAGTTCACTGGTTCTCAGAGTCCAGTTCCAAGCGTCTCTGGTTCTAGGAGTGAATGCTAAATGTTTCTTTAATTCTCTTACTTGTTGCTCCTGATAGCCTTTGCTTTTGAGATTTTCAGAACCACAGGAGTCTGGAGTAATGCAGTCACAAATTATATTCCCAGGGGCCACAAGTCCCAGCAAACACTTGCCAGTGCCCTCGTGTGCCCAGGCTCAGCTAACACTCTGTTAGGCCTTTGAGGAGCACACGATCTGGCTGGGGAGAAAGACGCAGACAGGGACTGAGTCCACGTGGGTGACTAAGCCATGACCAAAGGAAGCCCAGGAGCCACAGAGCCCAGAGCAACTCCTACCTGGCCTGGGGGAGGTGGTCAGGGAGCGCCTCCCAGAGGAGGGGCCACTGAGCTGGGATTTTATAAATGATTAGAAGTTTGTCAGGTAGCAAAAGGGGTAGGAAGGCACTGAAGGCAGGAGAGGCATGTGCAAAGACGCGTGGTGTGAGAGTGTGGCCTGCTGGGGACAGGCCAGGAGATCACGAGTGGCTGGTGTGGAGGATTAGGTGGCATGGAATGTGTGGGGGCCTCAGGAACTCACATGAAAAGGCTCAAATGCCAGGCTGAGGAGTTTGGCCTCTATTCTGAGGAAAATGGGGAGCCATGGCAGGGCTTCAGAAGGGGAGGACATGGCCAGAGTTGACCTTTACAAAGGTGGTGTCACATGGAAGGTGGGTGGGACTGGGGAGTCTGGAGGGAGGGTGATCAAGGAGGAGACTGTATGTACAATGGTGCAGTGACAGGAGTGGGTCCCTTGGCCCTGGATTTCCTGCAAGAGGGGGAGCATCCTTCCCTGCCCACAGCCCAGCCATAGCAAGAGTCCTCCTATAAGCTGGGGCCAGGAGGCTAGGCACTCATCGGGAAGCCACACCAACACCAGGAGGCTCTCCTCAGACAGGAGAAGAAGATAGGGCCACGTGGGGCCCAAAAGTCTGAGGGAGACCCTCCTCCCTGGCTCCAGTACCCAGGCCTCTCCTCTGGGGAGGTGCAATGACAGGGACAAGGTA